GTGGAGAATACTTCAGGCACTGCAATATAATTCTTTATTGCTTTCGCGGGACAAGGTCATTTAGAAAAGAAATAAAAAATGAACATGTACTCAACGGTTTCTTTCCCCATAAATAATACTGCATTTTCTTTTTTTTATTTAAACAAAAAATGAAATAATAGTCAAAAAAGACAATAGAAAAAAATTTACATTTCAAATAAACATGAACTTACCACATTAGAATTGATTCTACGACAAATGTTACGATTTCTTATATACGATGATTATATAGATGAACGAGAACGAGAAAATAATAATAAAAAAGAAATGAAAAGAATCGGACGTGTTTTAATTTTTAATTTTTAATTTAATTTTTTTTTTATTTAAAGAAGAAGCAAAAAATAAAATAATAGTCAAAAAAAGACAATAGAAAAAAATTTACATAATTTTCAAATAAACACGAACTTACCACATTAGAATTGATTCTACGACAAATGTTACGATTTTTTATATACGATGATTATATAAATGAAGAGAACGAGAAAATAATAGTAAAAAAGAAAAGAAAAGAATCGGACGTGTTTTAATAAACTTATAACGCAAGAGTTTATTTGATTCCATTCCATAATTATCATCCAGGAATTAAAATTTTTGTACGAAACGTTGACGAAGATCCTTCGTATATATATATATATATCGATTTTTTTTTAATTTAAGAAAAAAGAAAGAAAGAGAAAGTAATCGTGAAAAGGAAAGAAAAAATTGGATATATTTTTTTTTTAAGTAAACGTAAATTCATCATCACGTTTGACTCGATTCTACGACGTGACACCCGTCATTCAGGGAGTAAAATTTCGATACGAAACGTCGACAAAGTTACGATCCCTTATGGTCCAGGAGGGATCGAAGGGCGAATAGGGAAGCTGGAGGAGGGAAAACATCAGGGCGGAGCCTGAACATAGGAGGAGGAATAAAACGCGCAAACTCGATACACGCCTCTCTCTTTCTCTCCCTTTTCTCCCGTTTTACTCCTCGAGCCAACCACCCCATCCAGTTTTCCTCTTTTCACCTTTATATAGATTTTTTACCTAGTTCGACCCTTCTTCTTTTCGCTAGGCGAAGCTTGCGCAATCTTGTCTACGCAGTCTATCCTTCTCTCCTTGAAACGTACTCATAATTTTTTCCCTATCGTGACAGTTCAACACCATCGCCGTGTACGCTTATTCGGTTATTCATAAACGAATGAATTCTCGATCGAAGGAACGATCGATATTACGGATTATCGTTTTTGAAAATAAAGAAGATAAATAATGATAATTACTCAAGTTAATTGTTTCAGGTAACTTGAAGAAAGTTTTCTTTCGTTTCTTTTATGTATGCGTCAATTTTAAAATCTCTTCTAATTCTACAAACACTCGTGACCAGTAGATCATCAAAGATCGAACACTCTATTGATCACTATTGACCTCCGAGTAATTTATATTGTGATATATGCAGTTACAAAAACGTTATCTTCTATGTTAATTGAAAACATGAAAACATAAGCACATTACTGTCATGAGGCGGCCATCTTTCCATCAATCACACGGAGAAATCCGATGTTTACTCCAATCTATCGCAATTATTGTGTCTCGCTATTAATTATCACTTTAATTATTCATCGTCACGAAATGTGTATTATATACAAGTGAAGAGATAAAATTAGTCAGAAGATAGATTGCCGAGATGACGAAGAATCAATTATTTTGTTGAAAAATAAATTTCAATTCATTCAATATTTTTCTTCTATATATTAATACATCAACGTGATAATGAAAAGTAATACTTATCTTAACGTGTTTTCTAGAGTTGATTGTTTTTTTAAAAAAAAAGAATCGTCTTGTTCGATTCGCCAATTCCAGTGAAAAGAAAAAACTCGTACAATCGCGAAAATCATTATATCGTAATCGTCGCGAGAGAGATCATAATGATGAGCATGAAATTTATCACACATCTCGTGCGTTTCAAATGATCGTTTCACGAAAAAAGATATCTATTTTTTTTTTATAAAAATAACTTTAAAAATATTAAAATATATAATTATATTTTTCGTTAAACAATTTTTGAATAATTTTACGTTCCATTTGAATGACATGAAATTCTAACGATTTTTTTTTAATGCTCAATTGATTCTGATATTTCCAAAATCGTGATAGAAACAAACGAAAGTTAAAAGGGAACGAAAATTAAATATTACTTGGAAAATTTTATTATCGATGTAAAACTGTATAAAAGTGTTTTATAAATTCCAAAAAAGAAAAAAAAAAAGAAATGGTTTTTCGCATTTCTTAAAAATAACACGCAAATGAATTTATGAAGATGCGTAGAAGTTTACAAGAGGATAGAATCAGCTGTCAGAATGTAAATTCTCAGGTAAGGTATTAGTTGTATGCGTCCTTGAAGACTGGTCACCGACACCCTGTAGCTGCTGTTTACCGAGGTCTAGTCTAATACCAAGAAGGGCGCTAACAGACAATATTCAGTTGATTTGGCAACAGCTCAAGAGTTTTCCCAAAAGCAAGATATTTTTGGGCTGTTAACCACAAATCGCAATACTGCTCTTCTGTCCTATACCATTGACAAAAACCCTCGAAGAAAAAGGGTCTTTGCCAAAGTGTTATTAATTCCTTGATTAAGGTAAGGCTTGTGACACAGGCAGAGTATCTATCATTTCTTTCACGGTTAACACTTGTTTCGATGATTTCGTTTCAAAATTTTATGGAAATATGGTACATACACCTCGAAAATAATTTTTATTTCGTATTTTATTTTATTTCGTATTTTTTATTTTTATTTTATACGAATATAAAATGATTTTGACGATTTTTTTTCCGTAGGAAAAACCGTAGTAAAAATATTTGCTTAATAAATATATTTTAAATATTCGTAACTGTATTTTAATTTGAATGTTAAGCATTGGGGAATAAAAAGCATTGTTTGTAAAGAAAGCTTTCGATCGTGTTCACAACGTAAAAGTGTGTAGTAATTTGGTGATGAAAGATTATTAAGTATTGTTTTAATACTTAACAATTCTACTTTTTTCAAATACAACAAGTAGAATCTTTATATTGTTACGAATATTCGTTGTTGAAAGTTTTTGTACAATGTACTTTCTTCACGATTTTTCAATAACAGTTAAATTTCCGTTTAAAATTTTACCTATCGCATTTCGATATTCGTCCATTTTTCAGGAACGAATTAACAGATATGGATAGTTTCCAATGAATAAAACGAAGAAAAACCAAGAGAAGCCAACTAAATTAAAAGAAACAACAAGAATTTAATTGTCTCGAAGTGAACATTTCATTTCACTTTCATAATATAATATCTAATGGTTAATTTTTGCTTTTCATAATAAATCCGTGCAACAGGACAAAAGATTCGATTTACATCGATCAATGTATTTACACGTATCGCGTTACACGTTCGTATTGTTTCTATTGTATCCACTGTATACCTTCGTGCGTGTATTGGATTATCAACGAAATTATTACGCGATACGCTATAAATTGCGAAGTAACGTGTATATAAATATGCATGGTGCGCCCATCGAGACATGTGTGATGCTCGTGCAACTCGTTGCACGAGAGTTCACTATCTCTCACTCAATTTGAGCCTCATCCGCCGTAAGCGGATCGACCAGGCTGGCCTTTTAACGTCGGATAGTCTCGCCTCTCCTGGCTCTAGAGCATAGACGCCTATAACAAACATTATCCGCCATAATGCCCCCGTGTAAACATACCTACCAACGTGCATCGTCCTTCTCTCCTCTCCTCTCCACTCTTGCACCACCATCTTTTTCCGACACATTGTATCTCCACTTTGTCCGTCCGTCGAATAAAAACTTGGAAGTTTATTTAGCCGTTTAGCGTCTAGTGGCAAGTTAAGTTTTTCGGATAAGCCGCCTTTTTAACATAGAGCCCCTCCCGCCTCCTCGGCTTCCTTCCGGTTTAGCACGCGCCGGATCGATTCTATCCCTTCTAATTTTATATCGATCGATTTTATAAATTTTTCCAGCTTATTCTAATGATAAACGTATAAATTCGAACGATGCAAATTTTCATACGCGGTGATAGTTTTGGGGAAATTTGTAGAAAGGAAAGGGAAAGTGAAGCGAAAGTGACGCGAGCAATCGAAGTTTCTTTAGGTTCGTTCGAGTTAAATAACGGGGCTGGTTAATTGTTATTGGGATTAATCGAAGCGTTCGTGTAACGTTGGTCGTAAAAAGGACGAGCCGTAACCCACGACAAGCCATTCGTACAAGTATCCCTGTTCTTCCTGCCAGGTCTGCTTCGAAATCCCCACCCTCGTTTACAGGGAAGGGACCTGGATAAAGGTCCTGAAAAACTATTTAAACTGTTAAAGGTGGGGATAGTTACCCTACGCAGGGTAAACTCGTGGCTGGCAAATTTGTCCGTCAATTCTATCATACTTCTCGAGGCAGCAACACGCAATCAAACGGTGACAGTATCGGAGGAACAGCAATCAGGAAGAAATTTTAAAACAACAGTGATACGACAAACAATGATCAATGAAAATTTTAAGTGTAGTGTAGTGACGCACCAGTGATGAACAGAAACGAAGAATCTTTCCTTGGATTTATTGGATTTCGCTTAAATGGACTACACACAGTATCCCGAGTTTAATCATAAGCTTGTGAGTTACCACTACGTTTTAACGGCATCCTCTTATAAATAATATCTTAATCGTAAATAAATTTAACCAATTTTACATTAAAAAAAAATATATATATATATATAATATTTCGTATACCGAAGAAAGGAGCAACAATTTATCCCTCAAGAATACAGTCATTATAGACAAAGCACAAAGAAAAATGCTAATTTTTCTCAAAAATGAGAAGCGTTACCATCGTTACGTCTCACGTTCGCTCACAGTCCAAAAATCGAAATCGAGTAGGAGACTTTTCTTTTTTCAATCTATTTCTCTGCGCTAACGCGATTGTGAAATTATCGTTTCAGGTGGAGGATTACGAAGGTTACAGTTGCGCGCGAAACGGCAACGTGTCGGTATCACAGGAGCCGACGACGAAGGTGTCGGAGAGCAGCGCGAAGTTATCTTCGCAGCCGAGCCAGAACAATCATCGGGAGGAGAACAGCTGGTGGGCGGCGGAGGAGGGCGGGGGTCAAGAGATAAGGGAGCGCGATAAGGGTGCAGCGGTGGCGGGTGAGCTGGCTTGCCTCGCGGGTTACATGGCGGGGTACTTGAAGGCGGCGGGCGCCACTTGCGCCCCGACCGGTAGTCCTCAGTACCATCCCCACAGTCATCCGGCGATGGGGGTTGGTACTCATCCACATCCGCACTCTCACCCGCACCCGGGCGCGCCGCATCCTGGCCTGCCTTCGCCCTTCGCCCTCGCCACTCACGGCCATCCTCACCCTCATCCCTTGGAGCACGGCCTCGCTGCGTTTCCCCAAGGTTAGTCCCGTTAGATTCATTACACGCGAATTCTCTTTCAATTATTCGAAGTATCGATGAGATTTTTCGAATGTTTTTTTTTTTTTTTGGCCCGGAGACAATCGAGTTTCATCGACCGATTTCTCGATTTCTTCGGAGATAACGTTTCACGGACATGCATGTTTGTTGCAAAATTAAAAGAAAGAAAAGAAATGGTGACTGAACGATGTTACGATATTAGAGTATTAGAGTGTTTCGAGTTGAACGTTAATTCTACGACGGTATTTTAAAGAAATTTAATTTATAGCGAAAGGTTGAAAGGTAGTTGGTCATTATCGTTTAGAAGAGTTACTTTTTTCTTTGTTATTTTCCGGAACGCGGGCTTTAAAATGCCTCGTTTCCCTAGGTTTAGTTCTTTTATTTTTGGCAAGTACTTACCTGCAAATGCGACAATAGTTCATTGGTTGCGATAGGTAATGGAACAAAGGATATTGACATTTTCGAGTAAGTGAAAGTGTTGATGTATGAGCGTGAGGTGGCGTTAGCTGTTCGTTGGAACATTTCTTTTAACGATTCACCTCTTTTCACAAAAATTAACTTTCTAATCTGGTAAAAAGGAAACTTAGAAATTTCGTTTAATTCGATTGTCCTTTTTTTTATTTACGAAAAAAGAAAAGGTACAAAAGAAGATGATAATTTAGAAGAATATTTCCTTTCTTTTCATTCTGTCTTCAACGGCGTCGGTGTTGTAAATATACGAATCGTTTACGTACACTTTTAGCCAAAAATTATTTTATTCTTGCGTTTTTTTTACGAGGTTTTAAAAAGAACATTCGTTTGATTGGGAACGAAGGATTGATGCGATTAAATAGGTATTGGATGGATTTATTTGGTAGCTGCAAACATTTCGTACCATTTATCCGAGTTTTACGCTCCCGATCTCATTGCTCGATGGATGATACACGTTTCCTGCATTTCGCGAATCGTGCGGTCTGTTATCTCCTAGTAAAAGTATTTGGTCTGTGCGCCATACCAGCCGTTATTGATTGCCATGCAAATCGATGCATCGACTGAAGCCGTACAAAATCGAAGTAAACTCAGGGCTTCTTTTTAACTATAGCAAACGCGTGTATCATTCCGTGGCAGACGCTCCCGTGCATTTCTTCTTGCTTCTTTAAGATATCGCCCGAATTTTTTCCCTCTACTCGAATATATATTCTTATCCGCAATTAATTTCCAAAATCCAATCGCCGAATCAAATCACACGGAATAATAAACAAATCCAATCTTCCTTTCTTCTTTCCAATATTTTATCGATAATAAAAACGAATGCCTCCTTGATGCCGCCAACTGGTTAAACTGGAAAAGTAAAAAGCAACGAAAAAACAAAAAATAGATGGATAGACACGTAGCAGAATGATCAAAAATAACAAGCATCGACGATACAATAGCAAGTCGTTTCCAATTCGGCCGGACCAACGATTGATCAAGTCCTTCCTTTCATCTTTCCTTCGCGTTTCCACGCGCGTCCTCGCGCTTGGAATACATACCCGCGCTTTCTCTCCTCGTCTTCGTCTTTTTCACGAAGGGGCAGGAGGGAGAGGCCAAAGCTACGAAAGAGAAAGAGGGCAAGGTATGGAGCGAGAGAAACAGACAGAGAGAGAGAGAGAGAGAGAGGGAGAGGGAGAGGGAGCGGGGAGATTGGAATGATGGGCAAGAGGGTGGGAGGAAGGGGCTGGAATGCCCCAGCGAAGAAGAGTAGAGAGAACCATGAGAGTAAGCCGCTTATCAGGGTGGCAGCAGGCAGTATAGGTCCAACCAACGCAGATAGGTGGGTTTCCATGGAAACACGGATCTGTCCGTTAGGTCCCTACGTACCCGCGTCCAGCCGCCTATCCGTTGTAGGCGTATCCGCTACAACGAAAAGCCGTGGAACGAGAGAGGAACCAGAGCCGTCGCGAGTGTCGTCCCTCTGTGTCTGTGTCTGCACGCGTTAGCGCGAAAGAGGCGATCGGGAAGAGAGCCGGGGTAGAAACAAGGCTCGTGGCTGCTACAAAACGAGAGAGGAATCGGTAACGAGCGTTTCGAAACGTTTTGCATTTTTATCGCTCCCCGTGCACCGTGGCGCGAGCCGAAAGAGGATGATTCCTCGGAAAAATAAGTCGAAGAAGCGTAGAATGTGGAACTATTTATACATAGAGGAGAGGCAGGGAGGGGAGATTCGTTTTCGAATACTTTTAGCTTCGCTCTTTCTCGATTTGCAGTAAGTTTTTTTCGGTTAGGTATGGATTGTATATCGTATAGAGATTATGATATCGGTGTTGGTTGATTTTGAGAAAAATCAAAAGGACTTTGGATGGGTAGAATACCGATTAATTTATATAAAACGGTCGTCGCAGTTATTTATACGCGATATAAATTTAAAGAATTGCTAAGAAGGAAATATTGTTCGAAATAAATGTATCAGTGAACGATGGTTTGCGGTGAACTACGAGTTAAATCTTGATCTTAAGATCGTTATTAGAGCATGAATGATAAGATCATTGATATTTGCGAATAAAAAAAAGAAGAAACTCGTTAATAGTCTCTACATACAAGTTCATAATTTGCATAAAGTTTAGATAATTTCGAAACTGGATACACGTGGATAACGTAATAATTAATTTCATAGTTCATTTGCTCTCGCGTTCAATGGACCAAGAATTTCCAAGAATTTTTCCAACCACTTTTCTAAGACTAACTCGTCCTGATCGATCCGTTCATTTATTCCCGAATTTTTCTTCTCCTCCATTACGACTCCATTGTAGCCTCGAGCTGCACGAAACCGAGCATCGCGGAATACCGTGCGAAATCGATCGAAGCTAGGAATGTCGCGTGCCGTGAAAGAGGTAATTCGTGTCGGATAATTCGAATGCAAAGGTCGAAGAATGTTTGGCCGCGACGCTGTGACAGTATTTATTTTATTATGCAATCGGACGGTGGGGTTGGAGGAAAGAGAGGGGGAGGGGCGAATAAAAAAGAGATAGTAGCTCCGGGCGAAGGGTGGCCCGAAGGGGAGGGGTGTCGAAACGTTGTCGTTAACGCGCCGAGGTTTCTCTCCCCGTTGTTCAGGGATGGATGGAAGAGTACGTGGGAAACGCGTCACATGCCTCTCCCTTTTCTCATTCGACTACTACTATTTGTTGTCACAGAGAAATTGCCCGTCCACTTAACTTCCTCCGCCTCTCGGTGGAGATGGGATCGTGACGCGTAAACATCCACGCCTCTGATTTTTTTCGATTCGAATATTCAATGGATAGAATCGAGTTCCAATAACCTGGAGAAAGAAAGAATGTGTCTTCGATCTTTTTCTTCTTCTTCTTTATTTTTAATATGCTTCGCTTTTCTTTGGTTCGAGGGGAATTTTATTTATTTATTTATTTATTTTTGATAAAAATTGAGATTTTCGTGATATAATTTGGCAAGAATTAACGCGAAGCGGGATGATGATTTAACGTTTCATCGGGGGAGAATTGTCAATTCGATAGAATTTCAATCGCTCAATCAGGCGTCAGGTTAAGGGTGGCACGTGGCGGGAGCACGTGCGCCCATCTTTGTTACGAAGTGGCCACAAAATATCGGGCTAAACAAGCACGCGAGGCGAAAGCGAACGGAGAGAAATCTTGCCGTATACGAATAGGGAAGAAGAATTCGGGATCGTTGGACGCGTGTCACGGGATAAATTGAGTAGGCGGATGGCGTGCACGGTGCTCGATAGAGGGATCCAAATACACAGGTCCGGCCCTAATTGCAGGATAAACACTCGAGTCTGAGTGAAATATCACGTACAACGATATCGATACTTGAATCTATTTTCCGCTATGTTTCCACCTTCCCCGACACGTGTCTACGTGTCTCTTGGTAGAAGAAGCATCGATCTCTAATTTCTCGGCCAATTTACAATTTTGAAAAATGATTTTCATTTTCAACGTTCGCCTCTCTAATCTTTCCAATCCAATCTTTCGTCCGTTCGCTACCTCTTTTCCACAAGTATCTATATTTTTTTTTTTAAAAAAGTACGTGGATACGTTACACGAAGCAGGTGGACGCAGAAGAGGAAAGAGCGAAGGAAAAAGGCATCGGTTGGAAGACGGTAACACGAAGCTTATCCGATTATTCGCTTGTCCAGGATGCGTGTTGGTATTTCGTTACTTACTTATGCTCCTCTCTGCTAGATTACCACGTAAGAATGGCTAGATCCGAAGGCCACACGCGTTTCTTTCCGTTCGTTCGTTCGTTCGTTCCGTCGAAAAAGAAGTTTGCGCTGTGCTTCTCTCTCTCTCTCTCTCTCTCTCTCTCTCTCTCTCTCTCTCTTTCTTTGTTTGCCAGGCTTCGATAACTCGATACGCAATTTTAACTCTTGCATCAAACATCCTGTTCCGTACGTCTTCCTTCGAAAAGAAGGGAGGGAGAAAAATATCGGTTATACACACCGAAAACGGCGAAAGATAAACGATCCTGTACGCGGTTATCTGCTTTACGCAGCGATTTCACGGAGGTCATACCGTAAAGGCAAAGTCGGCCAAATGTTTTCGTAACTGATGGCCTTTTAGAATTCCGTCTCTCATCGGTGGCGGCACGTGCTATCATCCCACGGTCCCCCCCTCCGAATAATCCAGGCTCCCCCTTCCTCCCCCGCCTTCCACGTTCTCCATCACTAGCCTAGCCCTGTTCGTATTTTAGCTTTTAATTAATTTTCGATTCCCTTCCCTTTTCGATCGTATGTATATTCGTTCTTTCCTCTCGACATTCGACCCACCGCCCACTCTCCTCCAGTTTTGCCACATCGAATTTCGCTACCAGGCGCATCTTGTATTCTATGAATACCGAAATAACCAATAACCGCCTCCTCCGTACCCGTGGGACGAGATTCCGAGCCTCCGTCCACAGAAGATCGCCTTCTCCTTCCTCCTCCTCCTCTTCTTCCTCTTCCTCTTCTTCTTCTTCTTCTCTCTCGATTAATCGAAACGCGTTTTATCAATTTACTCGAAACTTGACCAACTTTTGACGATTATTTTGACGATATATCGTATCCGTCGTTACGTTCGATCTTCGACACGTAATCGCTCGTTTCTTGATCGATGTTATTCACCTTAATTCCTCAATTCTTTTCTCGATAAGCGTGTCGTCGTAATCGTTGTCCCGACTCCCAGTTATTTATTATCCGAGAAAGTGTATGAGAAACGTTGTGAGCGAGCTTAATCACGCCATTAATTCCCTAGACTCACCATATTTCATATTGCGAGTATAGTTTTAGATACGTATCGCGGATAAGTGAGCGCCGCTCGCGTAATTCATTTCACGCGTTTCGATTCCATCTTTTAACGCGTGAAAATGTATAATCGCGTTGATGAGGAAGAGAGAGAAAGAGATTGATTAAATTCACGTCTCTTGTTAGAAGCGAATATAAGATCGCGTCTATTTGTTTTGGTTTGGGTTGAAAAAGTCGTGAATCGATCGTGAATCGTATCTCGTTCGAAGGGAGAGGGAGAAGCCTGGGAGAAGAGGGCGGGGGGAAATTACTGTGAAATTTTGTTATCGGTCCATTGACTTCCTCCGTGATTCCGTTTCCGAGCCGAAAGCTCGAAACACGAGAGGGGAAGGAAGAATCCAATAAACGGAAAACGAATTTGCTATTAGGGTCGCGTCTGATCTCGTTGTGGGCCAATGAGCCAGAGCAACCCTTGTATCAACCCCCAGGCCTCGTCTCGCGCTCACGATAATAAATCGAATCATACTCCAGGACGCAGCGGGTGTTTGCCGTCCCATTAGGGTTGCTTAGCTAGCCGCTTTTCGCCGTATATCCGAATTTATTCTCCCCCTCCCCCCAAAAAATTTTCTCAATTTTTCATACGTTTTGAAATTCGTCCGAAGAGGCTTCGTCGTCGTCGTCCTTCGTTTAAATGGGACGACGTTCGAAGCGGTATTAAACTATCGACATCGCATAACGCCACGACATCTCGACACAAGAAGGAAGAAATTATTTTTCGCAATGAAGCACGAGGATATAATATAAGATAGGTAATAATTCTTAATAAACAAGTTCGTGATGGATCTCGAGTTTTATCGTTCTCTTTCCGCCTTCCTTTTTCAGAAATGTAAATAAATTATATATTTTTATAGTGTTTGCAAATAATTTTCGAATTTCGAAATCACGATATTCCTTTTCGTTTCTTTTTTCTTGGGAAAGTTAATTCCAAGCGCATGAAATAGAAAATGTTCGAGACGCGATCGATCGAAAGATAAGAAATTTAGAAATATTTCGAGAGAAACAAGAAGAAAAAGTTGGAAGACGAGGTCGAAAGCGGAAAGGAGAAGCAGAGAAGCTTGCGGGAAGCTTGGACGCGCTATCTGTTTAAGCTCGAGTTTCGAATCGCGTACATAGAATTGGAAGCAAACGAAGGGCTTTTCCTCGCGCGCCCACTCAACGCCGCGTGGAGGCAGGCGGAAGACCATAATCGGAATTCCATTGTCTCGTTGGTGGATAAGGGCCTGGCTTTCACAGGGGCCGATGTATAGCCGTCGGCAAAGGCCGTCGTTAACGGTAGCGCTAACGCCCACTCGACAATCAAGCATTCTCTCCGCGTTGGATCCGTTCCTCTCTCTTTCGAAGCCCAGAAGCACTCTCATCCCCTTTCGCCCGACCTCCGCTCGCTTGGATATCCTCCGCGCACAACGGAAGATACGGATCATAGATTCAATGATCGCGGGCGTGTCGTGGCCATCGTTGCGACCACGGTAGCCAACCATGGAATTTTACATTGTGCCCGGCCGCAATCATTCTCGACGATCTGGCCACACGTACAACCAGATAACCGACTCGACCGGTTCGTTAGCCGGCGATCACGTGTGTATGCATCATCTTTGGCGTCATCGTCATCATCCTTCGCTTCGTTGTTGTTACTCGCCGTATCGTTCCTTAAGGGAATGGTTCAGCGAGAGAGCAAGAGGGGGAGGAAGAGAGAGAGAGAGATACATACGGCATACGGCACAAGACCACTCCTTCTCTTTCTTTGAAGTTTCGCCTCGTTGTCGCTTTTCATCGACGAACGCTTCTGGATTAATTTTTTTCACGTGCCGTCCAGTCCAATTCTACAGGACAGCGATAAATTTCTGCTGGTCAGAAGCTTGTCATTGGAAATATAAATCGTTTGATTAGACGGATATTTAAAATCACGAATAATATATATATATATGGATGAAAATTAGTTTAGTATTACGGAAAACTCGATCGATTTTAAACAGTTATTATTCTGAGAAAGTCAGATTTAAAAGTTGAAGAAGATGGACCGATGCAATAGCATGATCCACGCGTTTGTCCGATCCACATCTTACATTAATAATTGTAATCTTATCTCGCTCTTATGATTTTGCACAGAAGGGTTTAACGGGAAGAGGGATAAATGTACGTACGATGCGTACAATATCTCGCTCGCTTTCTCTCCTCGTCGTAAACAATTCTCCACTTCGCGATAGTGAAGCTACCGTTTTTAATTCCTTTCCCTTCTTCTTCTTCTCCTTCTCCTTCTCCTCCTTTCGTTCGCTCTCCTCTCCTCCTGTTAAACCTACTCACTCAGATGCTTTCTCCTTTTGCTACACCATTGTACTCCTACCTCGCAATCATCATCCTACCTACCTCGACCTCCCTCCTTCCCCCCTCCCCTCACTCTTAAAATTTACACGCCCGATTATATCGATTCTAAAAAAAAAAAAAAAAAAAAAAAGGACAAAAAAACAATGGCCGTAATTTTTTGACCGAAACGGTGTAAAATTATTATTAATTCACGTATAATAATAACAATAATAATAATAATAATAACAACAACAACAACAACAATAATAATAATGTTCGATCTCTTAAAAATACAGGACGATCGCGTAGCATCCCAGTGGGGCGATGATTTGGACCGGTACCCTCCCCCTCCCCCTCCCTCCCCCCTCCCCGTTCCTTCCCCCCGCACACCATTCCTTCCTCGACTTTACGATCCAACTTCCAACCGGGAGACACCGGGCGAAGCGCAGTTTTCCAACCTCTTCTTTTTATTGGTTGGAACGGTTGTACGTTGGCGTGTTGGGTACCATCGTTTCCAGAGAGGCAGCTGGGAACGAACCGCGACTTTGGTCCTCTTCGGATGGTCGTGTATTCCGGGGTGTACCCCCCTCCCCCGGCCCCCGTCCCGCCGCCGTCCTGACTTGTCGTCCCCCGTCCCCCATCCTCCCTCCTCTCCTCTCCTCTCCTCTTCTCTCCTCTCCTCTCCTCTCCTCTCTCCTCTCCTCCCCCCGCCGCCCGCCCCGCCGCCCCTGTGACCCCCCCTCATAAGCGGATTACGTGGGTCCCGGAACGAGCCAAGCGAGGCTCGATGGCACGAGGAAGGTAGAGGAGGGTGGGTCGTAGCGGGGAACTGTTCAAAATTACGCTATCGCGACCTCGCAACGCTTACACCCCTCTGCGCCACCCCCTTTTCTGTCCTCCGGTCTGCGGTACCACACCGATGCCTTATACCCTTTTGTCGTTGAAAGCCTCTCGAAAATCATCTTCGACCTATCTGTTTTCGGATCGAGAGAGCGAGA